ACAATTTTGCCTAGCAGCACAGTGGGATACAAACCACACAAAGCACGGGAGCAGCCTTCTATTCAGAGAGGTGCTGTGCCTGAACCAATCTACCACTGGTCAGCAATGCTATAAAATGGTATCATAAATAGAAGTGCAGTATTCTTCATCCAGTTAGGATATATCTATGATTCAGTGCAGGCTTTGGTCTCCTTAATGTTCATTTACAGTGACTTCTGCTGCATTTGTAGGCTAAATGATAGCTGCCTGTGCCAGTTTCACTCTCCACTTCCCACCACCTGATCATAAACTCCATATATTTAATGAAGATTGTTGACCTACAGCCATTAATGACCAAGAAACATTTGTTTTCTCCTTAAAGCATTCTATTTCCTTGTCCTTTAAATGTTGTATTTATTTCCTGTCCTTCGGAAGTAAAATACACTCCTTTCTCCTTGTCGTCATTGCACAATCAACAAAGAATGTCTGTAAACTCTAATATCATAAGCTTATTTTTTTTCATTTATCCATTTATTTTTTAACTTGTTAATATTCATAGTATTTGCTAGTTTTAATATGAACATGTTTTGTACATTTCCTTACAAATACTGTTATATACTGAGTATCATCAAGGACTCAGTTTTATCATCTAAGGCACAAGTATATTAAGCAACAGTTCTTCCATTAGTGTGTTCACATGCTTAAAGCATAGGACAGTGACTCAGGAAAAACGAGTTCTGCTTTGACTGACCACCTGGATAACTTTGCTCAAATCACTTCACCTGCAGTGCAGCAGTTTATCTTTCTTGGGTGTCATTCTCCTCACTCTGTCCTCCTTTGTGAAGCACACAAGAACCTACGATCTTATTTCCAAAACATTCCCAACACCAGGATATCAGTAAAGTTATTCCACATATGAAAGCTGCTGTCAACTTTAGTTCCTTGCATATTAGCAGCACATTACTACTATTTTTGCTCCTCCTCATGAAGGAAAATAAATGTTAAGAACATTTTTCTTTTCAACTCATTCACCAACGGTGAACAGTTATTATTTACATTGCAAATGTAACATAAATCAAGAGCTAAACTTACTGAACAGCATTCCATTGTTTCCCACATACGATACAATTTGATCCACTTCAAGTTCTAGGTGTGAACACTGATGTGAGAGCAGCAGCCTCTGGCAAGTAGGAAGAAGTTGAGATTTTTACATCCAACTGCCCCAGCAGAGCATGCAAAAGCAGGGGGCAAGGCTCTGGGTACAAGCAGTAGATACTTAAGTTCCAAGGTGGATGACCACATTGCAATGGAATACGGTATCTGGTCCTCCACTATCCAAACCAACTGGAAAGGGAGCTGATTAAATAGATGCATCTGAGATATTTTCAGCTTTCACTTATTTATTTTTGCTTTCTGAGCTAGTGGTACAGACAAATATATATTTTTTTCCCTCTACATTCTGCATGGCAGCCTCAGCAACCTGGCACAAAATTAACAATATTATGTACAAAAACCTCACTTTCCCTCTCATCATCAAATGATTTCTTTTAGCCAATACTGGGTCCCATCTTGTGGTGGAACAATGCTCTCCTCAACATCAGTATTGATTTTTTTCCCTCTTTCATCTGTAGCATCCCATACTTTGTCAACGTAAACCTCACTGAAGGAGGACATCCAAAGGTAAAAGCTTCTACTGTTTCTTTAAACTGATCGTTTTTTGGTTTGTGAAAGTCAATGTCAACATGGGAGAATATTACAACTGTCTCAGTACTTCTCTGTTTATGGCGTCATCACCTACTGATTTCTACTACTTGGAAGAGTCACGGAAGATCAACCAACTTCTTATAGATGTAGGTGACATTAAGAAGCTCTAGAAGACCAAAATCAAGGACATAAGTTATAAGATATTCCAATTATAACAACAGAAAGATTACACCCTTACAGGGGCCTTGTGCTTTAATGTTCCAAGTCTCAGCTTTGATACAAACAACATATTGTTGTATGGTATACCCAACACTGAAGAATCCAAAGATGTAGATAATTTTACCCTTTTAAAGGGGTAGGAATCATCCCTATCTTGTTTAAGGATTATTAAACATGCCAATACCTTATCTTAGAAGAGTTGTTCTTACATGAATGACAACTTCCCTGTGTTTAAGTTTCTGACTCACACTCTAGAACCAGAAAGACTGGAAAAAATTATGAGACTACAGAAATAAGGAATTGAACTTTGGCTTGCCAAGCCTCACAGTTAATGTCAGATTATTTTCTGTAAAAACTTGGAAGCCTAGGACTCCCTTCTGTTTAAGAAAAGGGGAAAGTAAGATTCTTAAGAACAACACACTTCAAAGAGCATATATTTGGGGATTTGGTAATGCCAGAATGATTGGCTTTCATTTCTTATTTCCACTCAGTGGCATACTTCCTTATAGTACCTTCAGCCTGAAAAACATTGAATTAAGCAAATTCATACATTGATGTCTGGTAACTTCTGAACCTAAACATCCATTTGCAGTATTAAATAGCAGGAGCACTAACTGAAGACAGAAGGGAAAATAATCACCAAGGGAACTTAGTACTAAGGTGACTGAGGTCGGGGGGCAGGGAGTCGGGAAGAAAAGGATAGTGAAACCTAGCCAGTATTCTGAAGAACCATGATACCGAAGAACATGGAATATTAGTTAGAAACTTCATCTCATCTGAACAGTTCACTTCCCCCCCTCCATTCAGTGACACTTTTTTTTTTTTTTTTAAACAGGGTGAGAAGCATTTTCTTCAAACAGACATAGTCACTCCCAAGTCCCTAAACAGGTCCATAAGTCCATCTGGAAGAGCCTCATTTTTTTGTATAAAGGTATCATTCAGATACAAATTACAGCATACTACTTGCAGTATTGAAAAAACAAGCAAGAAAACTCAACCTTTGAAAACAATGTTTTAAATACCTGGACCATTACTGAGCTAAACGCAACTGCATTAAAAATGCAGTAAATGGTTGGGTACTCCTCTATCAAATCCCACAGTTCCTTTCCCTCTTCATTTCTCTGTCCCTTCCCTCTCCCCGCAAGTCCTTCATTTTTCTGATTTGTATTTAAATGAAGATCGTTCAATAACATAGTTTTCTAGTTTTCTCCTACTCATAAGTCTTAGCTGTCAAACATCTTCCAGGAGATAAAATGATACAATCAAAATAATAGTATTCTACATGTAAATATCACACTCCTGGATAAACTTTAGTGGGACTATTGAAAGCTGCAACTGAAAGTGATAACTCAAACTTCACTGGCAGTTATAAGCCAGAAAAATTTTCTGGTGAAGGAAGGGGAGATGCTTAAAAGAAATTTTTGCAAAACATAATTTTAAAGTATTTTAGTTCTAGAATGTGACTACAGGTGTAAACTGATATGAGTATTGCCCTTCTGAATTCTGAAAGCTAAGGTTCTGGTGTCAGCACTGCTACTTACAGCTTTTCCAAACAGCAGCAGATCATAAATACAGTTGTTGTCATTTTCACAGATAATTAGCAGAATAGTAAAACCAGCCACTGTTAATTGATGAGACTCTTGCCCAGTTGCCCCTCAGGAAAACTGCATTCAGCATACACAGGATCTGGGTTAATGCATGCAATATTAGCCTTCTATCCCCTAATGACATAAGGTTGGTATAGAAATCGAGTAATAGAAATCACTCATCAATACTCAAAAATGCTTGGGAGAAGTGTAGAGTCGTGGAATCCATCTCCTCTTATCACTAGTCAAGGAAAAAGGCAATAGCCAACTCTCGTTTTAACACAGTACTTTGTTTAGCTTTCTCTCCCTTCCATTGCTGAGATTGTATAAGAAAAGCTGATTGTTTTTAGAAGACAACTGATTTATTGGTGCTTCCATCCGGGCATCTATACGTTCCAGAACACAGAAGTGATGATCAGGGCTGTGAAGAATCTTTCCTTTAAAAGTCATCTATTCCCTTTTATTATTTTCAAGTGTACCAACATCAACATAGAGGTTGATGAGGAAGACTGTGTACTACCTAGACTGTCTGAGTCTTCCAGCTCCCTCCATCATCAGGCTAGGGGATTTGGCCTGGAGCTTTTTGCAGCACTGAACTGACCTTGCTGGAGTTCCTCTTGCCAATTTCAAGTACAGCTTCTACTCAGTCAACTTCATGCTCATGGAAGTAGCGAGTGCATCCCAGAAAGAAGAGTGCTTTGGATTCTACTGCAAGCACTGTTAGATCAGACCTGGTCTGATCTGCAAATTAAAGCAGTCAATGAAACTATTTATACAGTTTACTTCTAATTCTGACACATACGACACTTATACAAGGATTCTAGCCTTGGCAATGCTGCTTTAAAGTCAACGCCGAGACTGGGATAATCCTTTCTAGCAAAATTCTCCTTGATTTTTGAGCCACCAAGTTCCCTATAAAATAGAATTTGCTATCTGCTACTTCCCTTTCACAATGATGCATTAAGCATGCTTTGATATGAGACAGGACAGACCTCCAAAGGCTGAGCCAAGTGACACCAAAAGGAATTAGGAAACCCTACAAGGTACAAAGCACATTTCTTAACCCTTATCTTCAGATAGGGTTACCACCAGGAAGAGGAAAACAGTGATCCAATATAAAAGCAACAGCAAAAACTGAAATTATTCTCCCCAATGTTAGTTCTGACTCTCCAGCACTCGAATTATGCACAATATGGGATAATGGACAGTGTTTTTTAAAGCTAGAATTCACTGCAAAGAGAAAAAAGGTCAAACCAGACCATTAACAGGGCAAAAATAGTGCACACGTTTGAGTATATACGCTTTCTTATACAAAACTACTTCTCAGAAAGTTCTCTAGTCACAGAATTAGGCAAATAACCAGTACAGTATAACTCTGTGGAGACAAACTCATGAAAAACAACTGTTTGTAACCATGTATTAGCCATTACGTGCTCCTCTCAAGCAACCCTATCATAATGTTATCAGCACATATAGGTTGGAGGAAAAATGGATATACCAGAAATCTCATACCCTTAAAATGGATATTTTTTAATTAGCTCCAATGCAGATGACAGAAGATCTTCAATCACAGCTGGCAAGGGCTCATTAACAGAGGCTTTCATACAGGCCTAGGGGCCTGGAAAAAAAAAAAAAAAAAAAAAAGTAACTCCACCGATATCAATAGGAGTTTAACACGTGAATAACGTCAACATTTACTGCAAAGAATTTGTAGTGAGGTTATGAATTTTGCCCCTTATTAGCCTTCAATTTGCAAACCTCAGGCAAAAAAGGCTGGGTTTTTTTGCTGTTTTTCTGTGTGCACTTGGCTTTTAAAATAGTTCTTATAAAGGTACACAAAAATCAGAGAGAAGAGTGAAGGTAGCATTCCAGCAAGTGTCTATCAACCACTAATGATTTATTCCAAGTAAACACAAAAAAAATACACATTTGAACAAGAAATAGCCACACAAGTTGGGAGGACTATTCCTTAAAACCAATATATTTAAGAACACTTCAGTTCAGCAACATAAGTGTACATGGGCGATACATATGTTTTAACAGTTTCTTGAAATAATTCATTCAGCAAGAATACTACATTGGCTAATATAACTGAAATTTCTGCAGATCAGGCCTGTGACAGATCTTAGTACTGCCAAAGGACATTCACTGCCAAGACCCATTCACCATTGCTCTGCACTTTGGCTTTCTGAGGACCACACTTTGGAATTTCTATAGGTTCAACAGTTGGCACAGGGAAGCCAACATATTATTATGTAATATTATTTTTAGTGATCCTTCAGAAAAACCCAGCACAATTTTCTCCAGACTTGAAAGATTTATCATCTTATTTCATCTGAACAGAGAAGAAAAAATGTCAGCCTTAGAAAAGAAAAAATGTCCTGCAACACGCTGGCATCAAAATATCTCCAAGTTATGCTTCTTTCAGCAGCAACTGAAAAGGGGGTATGCACTCTGAACAGAAAAGATGCAATGCAAAACATAAATCAAAAATTGTGGGAACTAAACGTCAATAGAATAGAGAAAAGGAACCTGCTGCCAGAGTGGGCAATTAAAAAACAAACAAACAAGGAAACAAACAAAAAGAACCTACCAATCCAATTATCCATCAGAGACTGTGCAGTTACTGTGGCTTCTACATGACTTGCAGCCTTGCTGATCAAGGGCCGTCACAGGACACCTAAGCAATAAGAATTTCACATTTCAAACTTGGAATGCTTATCAGCAATTTGCAGTTTTCAAGAAGCCTAGGGAAACCTTTTCTACCTTAGTCATTTCTCCATTTTAAAAAACAGAGTGAGGTGGTTTTTGTTTGCTTGTTTTGTTCTTCTAATTAACCTACTAACTAAACGACCTTGTTAACCTATTTCCATTTGCAGCAAGGAGAATGATTTTGTTAAAATATCCCCCTTGCCCTTTAAGCTCACAGTCTGATGGAGCATTGTAAGATGAGGAAAGAAGCCACAGATTTGATAGATTTTCACAGATTTTATTACATTTACATTAATTCGTGGCGTTTCCCCCCTCGGTTGGGGGGGGGGGGGGGAAGTCCACCCAGCCTACCTTTGCAGTAAAAAGCTAAAGAATATGTAGCAATTTACTAAGCTGTCTTTTTGTGTGAAGTAACAAGCTAGGTGGGTTTTTTTTTTTTTTTTAAAGAGTAGAAGACACAGCTACTTACAGAAACTGCAGGGAAACTAGGCAACCTTTCAATCCATTTATCTAATTTCCTGCTGTTCCTATTTTTGAGTAAGTAAAATAATAAATGTTGGACAAAGAAAATTAATCTGTATTCAGAAGATTTCATTAAATAAAAAGTGCTAACCTGTTGGCAATCACCAACTCTGGTTTTAACACAGTACTTTGTTCAGCTCAGTGCTTTCTCTCCCTTCTATCACTGAGACTGTGCAAGAAAAGCTAACTGTTTTTAGCAGGCAGTTGATTTATTGGTGTTTCCACCCTGGCATCTATACCTTCCAGAATACAAAGGGATAATCAGCGCTGTGAAAATGTTTCCTGTTAGTAATTTTCGAAGTGCTATTAAAAACTAAGTGCTGTACAAACACAAAAAAAGGTAACACCTTATAACAACCCGTCAGATGCCTCCTCAGGTCAGGCTTCTGTTAAACAACGGAGAACAGTAGGCTTTATTTGCCGTCTAGCAGTACGCCTCTTGCAAGAGAGGTAAAGAAGAAGATACCGCGCTCAAGTGAAAACACAAATAAAGATCACTTGTCTGATGCTCTACAAAGAAGGGCAATTACTTCTTTCTGCAAACAAAGCCGGGCACAGAGCACGAGCTAGGAATCTCTCCAAAAGCAGTTACATAAGGCACTGTCAAACTTCATGTCACCTCCACACAGGCAGCAAGTTGCTCTCTTCCCACCCCCCCCCAAAAAAAAAAAAAAAACCCA